ATTTAGAGTGATGACGATACAATGAGTTGTATTCAACTCTTCTGCCTAGTAGAATCCTCTGCCACCTCTCATATTAAAATGATGTTCAAAAATAGCACAGTGGAGAGCAAATATCACTTTTATAAACCCCGTGCTCCTAGTTAGACCAGCACATGGAGGACTGTATCATAAAAATAAGGCATAATATTAAAAAAAAAAAAACTTTAGAGGATCTAAAAGGCAGATTGTAGGACATAATTAATTTGATTCTTATTCTCTTACACATAAACTACTATCAACTATTTTAACTAATAAAGCAACTTGGTCTGATTGGAATCAGATGCTACAAAATGTTTTGCAGAATCATGGCAAACGTTTTCATTTGTAAACTCATCTAAGGGAGACCTTTTTTTCTCTTATTCCATCTTATTTTGAAATCAAATTATACAAACTATACTGATGCTGATGAGAACATAGAAAATAATTAGGGAATAGCAGTATTTTTAATTGGATAGCTTAGGAAAGCAGATATATATGTCTGATTACACCATCCTAAATTGCCATCCCTAAATAAAAGATGATGAGATAATACAGGCCTAATAAGAACCCTGGCTGGCTGGTATACACTTAAATATAAGAGGATGAGATAATGATGATCATTACCAATTTCAGTAGTTGGCTTTTTTTTTGGGGGGGGGGGATATGACATAATCCTGATAGTTCTTAAATACATTTTGTTTTATGGGCTGATAATGCATATCCTCTGGGCTTCAGACCAATACAAATAGTATCTGTCCTAAAATGCTGCCAAAAATGCTATTTTGTAATTTACAGCCTGTTGCAGAGGATGTTGGGGAGCTACATAATAGTTCAAAGATACAAAAGGGAGCCTGGCTGGATCACGTAGTTTCAAGGGTGTGCTGAGTATAAGTAAATTGTGAGCTGTTTAAGAGGTACATAATGGGCAAATAATGTCGATGGAATCTTGCCTCAGAAAAACCATTGAGTTGATGACAAGAAGTTTTACTGGGAAAGAGATAGCTCAGAAGGATTTGAAAATTTAAAGCACTTTTGACATTTAAGATAATTGTTCAAAGAGCAGTATAAATTGAAGCCTTGGTCCTTTCCTGAACACTAATTTCTCATCACTGGATAGCAATACTATTGCTGCCGCTGCTGCTGCTATTTCTCTTGTTCCTCATAATAGAAATAATAATCTCATATTTCCATCCAGAGGATCAAAGCACCCTTCAATAAAAAATTGCAAACTATGCAAAACAAATAAACATCGTTAAAATACATGCGTAAATCTAAAAATAATACTGATGAAAGAACTGTTTTAATTTCCTTTTCTTCTAATACTAAATGAGAAACCGGTGATTGTAAGTAGGAAGGTTGGCAGGAAATAGGAAAACAGCAAGAAACCAGCCAAGTGTTCGACACTGGCCAGCTGATCAGTTGGCCAATAGAATAAATAGTTGACTGCATGGATTAAATTCTTTATAGTCAGAAAGCATATGCAGTCATGGCATACAAATATACATGATATAGGATTGCATTAGGCATAACTGGGCTGTAAAAAATCCAAGTGACCATTAAATGACAATAAAATGTTTTCTGTATCTCTTTGCTGCCATCTAGTGGTCATCTGAATTTTGCAGCCGGTATGCTTGTTATGGCAATAACCCTAATGCCGGGGGTTCTGAAGGCCTTTAAACTGCAAACCCATATTTTCCTGCTGTTTTTTTTGTTAGTAACAGTGGCTAAGACAAAAATCAGTTCTGCAGTTTAAAAGGCTTCTTTGCTCCTCTGCAATTTATCTATGTCAAAGAAGGTCTGGCAAAACTATTCCCAAAATACATTGGAGAAGTATGTATTGTATCTATTCAAGTTGCAAAGCAGTTTTAGGCTAATTGAAAAGCTGCAAATGCAATCTGTATTCAAAAGTATTCAAAAGCTGTGGTTTGGATCCAAGTTCTGTTTTCTGAGCATGGAAGGATTCCTTTTGTCTGTATGCAGAAAACGAGAAATACACTGGATCATTTCTGCCAACCAACCTAAGGAATGAGTGATTTTCATCAATCTGGTAAAATAATTTCCTAAACCCATCCACCTTTGGGGATGACATACACATACAAAAGGATGCACTGTGGCAATGCAATGCTGCTTTCATCATTTCCCTCTTTCACCCAATTTCCCTGGAAGACACTTCCATGTAAGAAAGAATGTGGAAATTATTGCCTTTGCACTGAGAAGAGAATTTTCCAAATGTTAAGGCATGGTTCTAAATTATAATCTATCAAAATGAGCAAATCTAATATATTTTAGGTCCATCCGTTATTTTTAAATCAATATTAGCCTTTTAATTAATTAATTTATTAAACATTATTTTGGTACCCATGTATGGAGGAACCCATATATGAATTGTTCTCATTTAATGATTAAACACTTTAAAAAGTTGGCTTCATAAGCAGTGTAAATTTCTGTAATTTTTTTTATCTTCTGTTCACTCTGATTTCTAGCTTCTCACTTGTTTAAAAATAATTGCAGCAAGAAAAATGAATGTCACAGTATTACTGATATGCTCAGAAGAACTCAGTGGGACTAATCACATGAATAGCATTAGTGCCTAAAGGAATAACAGTACCCTAACAAGCTTGTCTGTGAACTAGGTAGTAGCTTTCCACTAATAATGTTGCACTCTCATCTGTCAGTATTTAGATAAATATTTTATTCTACTGTAGACTTTCATTAAACTTACGAGCTGATGCCTGTTATGTGAGGTAGAGATACATAAGAATTTGTTCTCTGGATTCTTCTGGAACAGGACTTTAATAAATAATCAAGTGGATATCAAAATAGAAATACATGGCATGATGGAGGGAAATGTAATAAAACTGAAGAGAGAATCATACCGCCTACTGCCAATTACCTCCACTAGACCGATAAGATCGCATAGATTAGGCCTCCTCCGAATTCCATCAGCCAGCCAGTGTAGACTGGCAACTACCCGGAGGAGAGCCTTCTCGGTGGCTGCTCCGACCCTCTGGAACGAACTCCCCATGGAGATCCAGACCGTCACCACCCTCCAGACCTTCCGCGCCGCACTTAAGATCTGGCTATCCCGGCTGGCCTGGGGTTAAAGACTCTAACCCCTACTCGAATTGTATGACTGTTGAGTTCTTAAATGATGTAGTGCTTTTATGTTGTAAATTGTTTGTCCTCCCCCCCCCTTTTTGAACTGTGAGCCGCCCTGAGTCCCCCCAGGGAAAAGGGCGGCATACAAATAAAGTGAAACAAACAAACAAACAAATATTTCTCTTTTCTGATACAGAACTAGTTCTTGATCTTCCTTCTGTAATACATCAGAGAATTACTCAGAAGTCATACTGGGAGTGCAACATGGGTACTTCCTCTTTTTGCCCCATTATCTAGACCTTAATTAACTCTGATGATTTACAGTATGTCAACCTGCTGCATCATTCTAAGCTATATCTGGTATATAGTGACCAATGTGGTCCTCCAAAGGTGAGGAACAAATATATCTCAGTAAAGCCAGTTGACAGTTGCATCTGAAGATACCCAGTAGTGTAATCAAAAGCAAAATGTCAATGGTCATAGTGTTTTTAGCAGTTTGCCATTTTTTTGACCAAGTTAGGAAAATTGATTCCATAGAATGCTAGCTTTAAAAAAGATATATATCTGAATTTAGGATTTTACTTTACTTTACCCATCTGTGAAGGTTGTAAATGCAAGGATTTGTCATAAAGTTCCTTTATATCACCGTCATAATTGCAAACAGTCACTAAACAAGACAGTTCCTAAATGAGGACTACCTGTAAAACTACCTGCAGTGATAATATTTTTATGAAATTAACAAAATTAAGAACATTTAGAAATATAGAAGATGAAGAAAATTAATCGAAATTCATTAATAAGCATTGTAGAGAAGTCTTCTGTAAATATCTTTTGGCGGGTCCCCAATCTTCATGACAATCATTTTCTTGTCGTTGTTATGTTTTCTTTTAAAATTGCTTTATTTTACACTATAGATTAGAAATAACTTTGGTTTATTATATATGCCACATGAGGAGTTGCCTAAAAATCATGATGAAAAAGTTATATATGCCACATAAAAGTTATATATGCTACGTTACTATAGGAAGCAATAAGAGTGAATATGCTGGGGGTGGGAAGGGGGTGACCTTACTTTTTTAAGGTATAGATTGTTCAGTTGTCTCTTTTTTGATGTACAAAGAGTGGGAAAGAATAATGTACTGATTTTGCCCTTGCACCAGAAACTTAAAAACTCTTCTGGGAGAAGTTTCTTATTTATAAAAATCTGCTCAAGATCCAATTCTTTTAACAATGCATTAAATAGATTATCATATATTTCCTAGTGAAATGGCAGAGCAATCTCAAGTGGTCTAAATTTGAATGTTCATGTGGTGTAGACATATATCTGATCAAACTGTCTTTCAGATTGCAACATCTTCCTTCCTTCCTTCCTTCCTTCCTTCCTTTCTTTCCTACTCTATAAAACCTGGGCTTGCATGGTTGCTGTTGTTTGTGACTATAAGAAAATTCACATTCTCTGCTGAATTTTAGAAAACAATCTGCCTGAAATAGCCAGCAGGTCCATAAATTTAAACTTATCATTGATGTATTGTGAGATTATGCTTCTTAGCCATAAGTTTATTCATTGAACTCTACCCAAGATTTATTGTAAATTTTGATAAATTCGATTTGATTTTATAGCTAGGTAAATTATCTGTACATTTTATTGATGACTTGATCAGTTTCCTTTGTTAGATTTCTGCTAAACAATAAGAATTCAGGGGTCCTTGGTGCTCTCTGAACTTGGCTGTTTTCTTGTAGACATTCATTACCCAAAGTACGCAACATCATCACTGCTGAATAAAAATTCAGTTTTAATGCATTTGTGGGTTTACATATGTGTTGTTGATATTGTTCTATCAGGAAACACTTTATGCTTTAACCTATATCTGTTTTTAATGTAGATATGTTGCAATGGGAATCAGTACAATACTCCAAATTTCCAATGCTGTGAGGACAAATATCTTTCATTTCTTCTGAATGTATCAAGTGCTTGTTGTGGAGGTCAGAGGTATACAGTGGAACCAGAGTATCACTATTGTGGTAACTATTCTACACGGATATTCACAGGTAAGAAGCATTTCAAAGATATTAAGTGGCAGCTTTTAATAAGAAATATAGGTCTGACTTTAAGTATGAATTAATGGGCTTCCTATTCACTTTCTGAATGAGAAATGGAAAGCCTCTATGAAAGCATACTGTTCCACTATTATAGTGTTAAATAAATTAACCAAAAAAAATCCACTGTTTATCTACATTTGCTATCTAAATAATTTTACTATCAATGAATGTGAGAAGACCCAAGGTATAAGAGCTGGCCATGGATTGACTGACATTGGAATCCATACTGAGTCAAGTACTTTGCTACATAATCAATACGTAACTTCATTCTTGATGGTAGACATGACCTGCTAGTGGAATGAGACTAGTTGAGGAATAAAGAACACACATTTATCTCATGCTAAAGAAAATGAGCTGGTCCAATTTATCCAGTCCTAGAACTACAAAAATATATAAGGAAGCTACTAATCACACAATCATGCTTACGTTGGGTTGGTTTTTTTTAGCAATCGAATGGAGGTGATTGCCCTTGACTTCTTCCAAAATATTTTTCCGAGACAATAATAATAATAATTTCTTTATTGACAGTGCACAACATATGTACAGTGAAATTGGTTGAGCTCCCTCAGTGCAATTCCCCAACACTCACAGTGAAGACAAAAAGAAAGAAAGAAAATATCCCTAACCCAACAATTCATATTAACAAACACCCAGTCCCATTACACCAGTGTGAACATGTTACACCTTGCGCTGCAAGTCCATTGTACAACTTAGTTATGGTGTTGTTTTGCATTCAGGAGACTGACAGCCCATGGATAAAAGCTGTTCTTCAGCCTGTTTGTGTGGCCGACTATGCTTCTCTATCTCCTTCCTGATAGTAGGAGGGTAAAGAAGTACTGACCAGGGTATGAGTCGTCTCTGAGGATTTTCCTCACTCTTCTAAGTCAACGAGCCCTAGCAATCTCATCTAGTAGTATCAGGGGGCAGCCCTTGATGTTTTGTGCTATGCTCACCACCCTCTATAATGTTTTCTATCCATGTTCAAACCAGCATACCATGCCATAACACAATAAGTGAGGATACTTTGTATTGTGGACCGGTAAAAGGAGGTCATCAGTTGTTGTTCCATCCTGTTTTTACGCCTTAAGATCTTAAGAAAATGGAATCTCTGTGGGGCTTTCCTGGCCACCTGGATCATGTTGTTTTTCTAGGTAAAGTCTTCACTGAGATGGACTCCCAGGAATTTAAAGGAGGAGACTCTCTCTACACAGCCCCCTCGATGTAAAGTGGGGCAGGTTCCTCTTTCTTCCACTGGAAGTCCAACACTATCTCCTTGGTCTTGCTGATGTTCAGGTGAAGGTTGTTTTTATCCATACCTGCATAGTTTTTCAGGTCAATCAGGCTGGCTAGGTACTGCCGGCTATTTTAATTCTTACAAATATATTACATTCCTTCAGAAAACATATGAAGAATCATTGTAGGAATTGGGTATATCTAGTTTAATGAAAAGAAGGACTGGGGTGACATGATAGCAGTGTGCCAATATTTAAGGGGCCGCCACAAAGAAGAGGGAGGGTCAACTCATTCTACAGGCAGGACAAGAAGCAATAGATAGAAACTAATCAAGGATAGAAACAGCCTAGAATTAAGGAGAAATTGCCTGACAGTTAGAACAATTTATCAGTGGAACAACTCGCCTCCAGAAGTTGTGAATGCTCCAACACTGGAGGTTTTTAAGATAAGATGGTACAACCATTTGTCTGAAATATTATAGGGCCTCCTGCTTGAGCAGGGGGTTGGACTAGAAGACCCCCAAGGTCCCTTCCAACTCTGTTATTCTGCTATTGTGTTATTTCTGATTAAAAATGCATTGTGACTGTTCAGATGACAAGTCAGAAATCTTTGGGGGCCAATTGGTTTTTTTAAAGAGTGCATTCTGAGTGTTCAAATAAAAATAACTTCATGGGAGAATGGTTTGCCTTGCCATAAAAGGGCTACCAGGAGGCCCATTGCCAGTTGCAGGGCACCTTTTTGCCAGAAGGCAAACTGAAGGGAAATCACTCCACCCTTGGTTCTTGCTCCTCATGATACTTGTTGCCCTAACAGTTTGTCTTGGCTGTGTTGAGAGGCAGATGTACATACAGTAGCTCCAAAGAAAACACTGGCTATTGTTTTTATTTCCCTCAAATGCCTCTGAGAGCCTATTTGGATCCAAAGATATTCATCAAAATCACAGTGCCCTTTAAAAGGTTAATTATTTTTTAATTAAAATCAGGGACATATGGAGCCAAGGAAACTGTCCACAGTCTATTGGCCCTTACCCATACCATGTTGCCTAAGATGCTGGGATATTTATCAATGCAACTTTAAGCTTGCTTTGAGGATTTTTGAATTTAATTTTTTTTTCATATTGATTACAGGCTACATGTTTATATGGAATAAGCCTGGTGGCTTTTTCCTGGATATTTAATGCATACATCTCTTTATAGGCAATTGTGAGGTCAGGAGCTAAATTGACTGCATTACCCATGGTTTGGCACACATTGTGTGTGCTCAAAAGGACTTTGAATTTCTGCCAAGCCATACAGCACATCCTAAATTCAATGCCTTCAGAAGTCATTCATATATCACAATATTAGAATGTCTCCTGTGATGTCATCCAAAAATAATGATATCCCAAGGAACTAAAGGAGAGGCTTTGGTCAGTCTCATTAATCTCAGTGTTCTAAAAGAAGATGATTATTTCTCTGACCTCAAAACCTTTCCAGTGATTTCTGTTAACACACTTAGTGCTGTTTACAAAGGCAAATAAAGTACAGTGACACAAAACATATTGCTTTTAACAGCAACAACAACAAATGGAGCAAGCAGTTGTCAATACCAGGCAATGGTTATTTTGTGGTTTTGTTACTTTTGTTTTCTGGAAAGAAACTCTTTTTTTATTTTCTTCTTCATTTTCCATGTATGGCTAACAAAAACAATATTGGTCATTTTCTGTGTGCATATATACAAACACACACAAAGAGAAAGAGACTCTGATTACCCCAAGGAAAATGTTAATGTGGGTCATTTTTTGATAAGGATAACAATTAACTAGGAGGACTCTTGGTTGTGTTGAGAGCTTGGCTTGGAATGGATTCCATTTTGAGAGGTTAATGAGAAGGTTACTAATTCCTTGTGTCTTATGTCTAATGGTCCTTTTATAAAACAATACAAAGGAATCTGTATTATTTCCAAGTAGTGTAACTTGAAGGCCTTCAAAATTAGATTGAGTAAAATGCGGAAACGTGGTTAAGTATCTCAACAGATTATATCTCTTTCACTCCTTCTGATTGTTCTTATCATTTTTATTATTCATTTTATTTTATAAAGATTTATGCATGCCAGTCTTTGCATGCATGTTATTTGGCCAGTTTGAAATGATATAAGACATGCATTTGCATTTTGCAAGTCAGGCAAAGCATAGTAATGTTATCAGTATATGGAAAGCAGAAAATATAGTTATGAATCTTCAAGCAGAGATGGGTTGGAATGAATGTGATAAAATTAATAGTATTAGCATTCAAGCATCATAATTTCTCTCCCTGCTGCATTGTGGAGAATGCAAACAATGTTATTCCATAAGTGTTGTGTCAGAACATGGAAGACGACTTTTTCCATATGAAATTGCATATGCTCATCAAAGAAGACAGCTTTTTTAGAAGTTCTGGAATTGAATCTCCAGGCTGATTATTAAGTGTAGGAGAGATTTAAACACAGGTAGTGAAGAAAATATTTTAAGTGGCAATAACTGAAAGACAACCAGGACATATGTAGACTAAGAGATGTATAACCTTGAAACTGTCTACAACAATAATCTTTTTTGAAAAATTATTATTGTTTTTCAGAGACATTTATACATAGAAGAATAGAGAAGTTAATACAAGAAGGTGTCATAGTACAGTCTTATGTTTGCAGCACATCTAATTCAATGCAATGTATCCAATTACTTTTGACCTAAGTTGTGCCATCCAACCTCTGTCTCTTATATAGCCTACCAAACTTGTGAAGTTTTTAAACTGCACTTTTTATGTTACATCATTAACTTCCATGCACTTTGATATTAAATGACATTGTTAGTCTACGATAACCAAAAAGAAGGAAGAGTCTGGGTGTACCTTTTCATTTAACACATTTTATTGAAAATAATAAGCTTTTTGTGAGCTACCAAGATTGCCTGCAGTCCCCCCACATTTTCACCAACACCAACAGGTCCCAACAGGTTCACATAAAGGTTAAATGCACCTTCACATAATCTTCCTCAAAACTGATATATGCCACCATCTAGCATCCATGCCTCAGTGGATTCTACATAGAACAAATAGGCCAAACAGGTTTAGAAAAAAGTTAATGGACATAAATTGGACATTATGATTCAAAACAAGGATAAAATAATGCCAGAACATTTCTACCTCTCAGGACACTTCATTACAGATCTCAAAGTAACCACTTTTGGGAAGGTGTGTGTATGTGTTTGTGTTTACCAGCACAATTTAGTAAGACATTGCTGATCTTACATTCTTTCAAAAATTCCACTCTTAGAATGTGTCAACAAGTACAATGGATTTATAATACATTATATTTCTCAATTGATAAAATACATACAACTACTCTATATAACCATATTGCCTTCTGTTTTTCCCTCCCTTTTTTCACACCCCCATGCTTCATCCTATTTAAATCCAACATCACATGCTTTTGAAGAAGTGAATTGGAAATCACAAAAATCTATGGTTTTGAATAAAATATATTGGTATAAAAAGATGTTATACCAGGTTCCTGATATTTTATGAATAACTCTGGAAACAACACTATTCTACTTGCTATGTCCAAGAACAAATAATAGACAATTAGATAATTTTATCAATAAAAGTCTATGTTATCTTTAAATGAGTGCTATCTAAATGAAAAGCTAAACTGGGTGTCTGTTGTAATTGAAAACTCTTACTGCTGGCGTATTCCTTTGTCAGGAAACCAGATTCGTTGTGGTGAGTCACTGCATAATGGCTTCAATCAGCAATATAGTGGTGGCCAAATAGAAAACAAAGTCACACAACATACCTCAAAATACAATTTTAAGTCAGGTACAACTCTCTTTAGCATTTTGCAGCATCTTATATTTGTGTCTTGTGGGGGGGGGGGTTTAACCTCGAAATACAAGTTTGGAAAAACATGTCTGCCTTTGTTTAAAAGATAAATCATTTGACAATATTGATATATTTTGAAATAAAAATAACATCCTGGGTAGGACGTTCATCTTGGTAAGTGAAATTCCACCCAATAGCCACAATTGTAATTTGTCTCACATTGCTACGACTTTTTTTAAATGTCATTCCATATTTTAACTGAAACAACATGTATTTCCTATTGGTTAATGTGACCTCTAGATATTTAACTCTCTTCTCTTTGTTGGAACCAGTTTTCTTTATCAAAATCTCTTGGACTTGTATTGTCATATTTTTAATCACCATCTTTGTCTTTGGTTTATTAATTTTAATCTTTATCCATTAAGTGTTTTATGCCATTCTGGGGCTCTTGTAATATCAAAACTAACTTGCAGGCAAATGCCCTCAATTTTTTGGTCATATAGAGACAATGAATATGATTGAGTAAGCAGAAGAAATCACAACAATCAAGAGGTGGGAAAGATGAAAGTTGGTATGAAAAAGGACTGAGTTCCAATTCATTTCAAGAAATAATATATGCAATCACCTTTCTAAGGATCTAACATAAATACGGGAAGAAAGGGTGAAAGGGAAAGACTGTGGAAGTTAGAAAATGATGAATTTAATGGAATTCAAAAAGAAAGTAGTGGAAAGTGTAAAGAATAAAATACCTGAATAATGCTGAATATGGAAAGATGCTTTACAGGGATAGAGAGTTATGGAGTTTCTTTCTTTCTTTCTTTCTTTCTTTCTTTCTTTCTTTCCTTCCTTCCTTCCTTCCCTTCTTCTCTTCTTCCCTCCCTCCCTCTCATCTTTAATTACTTTTGCTTGTTCTTGTTTTGAGCTTTGCATAATACCACTTATTCTAAAAAGCTAAATTTTAGTTGGTATACAGTATGTATATAAAAATAATCTTTTCAATAAATTAATGATAGTAGAAGAAAAATATTTCTCTTCTCTCCTGACAAACTAAACCTAAACTGGAGCTGGTTTTCTGTCATTGATCTTATGTGAAGCATTCAGTGTTTCAGTTCAAAAGAACACGGGAAACATTATCTTATGTTTTTTTCTGAACTCTCTCCCGTTTAAAGCAGCACAATGAGTGGCTGCCACTGGAAAGCATTGCTTCATAAAACATCTCTTTATGTACTTTATTACTTAAACTCTTTTTATTTGCCTGCAGGAGCCCTTTAACAAAATCACATTGAATTGACTTTCTCACACCAAATCAAATCTCCCTGGTCCCAGTACAGTTGTCTTTGTCAATATGTATTTTATAAATGGAGTGAATTAACAGATGCGCTTGGAAAAGAACTGCTGGGGTAGCGTTTATGTTTTTACTGCTCTCTCTGGGCAAAATGAGTTGTGTGGGAGTGTAATACAGGTACCTTGGGATCAAAGACGTGTTCCTCATTTCATTGCGTGTTTACACAGATTAAATGCATAGGCTCTGCACAAGAATGGGTTTCAAAGTTTTGCTTTTTATTCCCCACTCAACTTTTATATATAATATATATAAAACATAACAATATTACATTTTTATGCATATCCTGCCTGAAGTAGCCAACTAAAAACAATAAGGTTGTAATTTATGCACGCTGACTAGGATTAAGCCCCATTGAACTCTGTGGGCCTCACAGCTCATTAGGCCTGGATATGATTGGGCAGCAAATGTTTTAATTCCCCTGATGTCACTGAACTGCAGCATCCCACACCATTTGCCATTTTGGTTGGAGGTTGTCATTAGTGACACCTCAAAGGTCACCACTGTCTTGATTACATTATTTATTTTAAAAATATGACTATTTAGATATATTCCATTCTAAATTGCTGTGCTCTGCAGTAACCCTAAACGCATATTAGTGAAGCAAACAGAGACTTTTCTTCTCATTTTCTTTTCCCTTTCTTCCCCTCATGGATGATTTTTGTTGCTGTTGTTGTAAAATTATAAAGTCCTCAAGATGACACATATCTCTGTTGCTTCCATAGTCACAAAAAGCAATTTTCTTCAGTTGCTCTGTATAAAAAAGTAAAGAGCAACACTGTTAAACATAGCACTTTCTATTTTTGAAACAACCTCTGATAGTTTAACCATCCACTGATTCTTCCTATACATGCAAAATTGCAATTGATTCTCTCTCTCATCAGCATGCTGTGCTCATTTTCTCCAAATGTGAAGACCTTTGCCTCCATAGGTAATAATGAGATGTCCCACTTTCATGTCTGCATGGCTAACATTTATCAGATCAGGCTGGTAGCTACTACTCAGCATTTGGTTACATTCACCCCTTCTTTTTAATTGATGAGAAGCTATCTTTCTTTACTCATAGTTTTAGTTTAGCTTAATGTTATTATCATCTTTTAAAGGGGTAGGAGAGATCACCTTCAGAATAGGTACTTGTAGGAAATAATGCAAATGATATAGTGCACAAGACTACAATAGTTTTTCCCCCTCTAAATAAATAATAAATAATATAAATAAGGAGGAGAAGATGATACTGTTATCTGACATATTCTTCTAAAGAATTCATTTTTTCCATGTACTGTATATAGAATTTTTAAAATTTGTACAAGTGTACAAGAACGCCTTGAAGTATCTCTGACATTGTTCAGTGTGAAAACTTGTGTAAGATTCAGACATAAAGTGTGATTTTGATGCCATAAAACTATACAGTATCCTACGTATCAACCAAGTACCTTCTTAAAATATAAGATGTTCCAAGTACTGAATTTTTTTCCGCTGGTGTTATTGCAGGAAGCTGCAATTTGTTGATGTATCTTGTAAAGTTCTTAGACATGGTGCCAAGTGCCCCGATCACAATGGGTATCACTGTTACATGCTTCATCCATAGTTGTATAGTTTCGATGGCCAGGTTGCGATATTTCATTCATTGCTATTTTTTAAAACATCGATCTGATGTTGGATCCAATATACCTTTTAAAAGTTTTTGTTTGAAATACCTCATTTTAATCTTAGGCAGAAATATTTTATTAGCATTGAACTGAGTCTATAGGTAGTCCTCAAATCAGAATCAGTTGCTTAATGACTGTTTGGAGTTATGACGGAGCCCCCAAAAGATACTTACAACTGGGTTTCAAAGTCATACAACTACAAGTCCTCCATGGTCATGTGCACAAGAAAGAATGCTGTAACAACTCCTCCCATCTATGTGCCCACCATCCCATTCCACCAAGTCCTTGCTGGGTGAGGAGAGCAGAATACTCCATCTCTCAGCATCCCTAGGCTTAGTGGGTCCACAATGAATTATGACACTGCAAAAATGGTGGCCACTTCCAGGTGGGCACCATGGGGCCTTGCTCCTCATTCTGCATCTTTCCTTGTGGTTCTGGATATGTACAGCCCTTTCATCTTCAATTTTTCATTTTTCCTCCTATTGCTGCATTTCAATGATTTTTGCTGACATCTCTTGGCTATGATATCCCACCTCTCTTTCCTTATAACATAATTATGGTGATGATACCTTTTTATTTTATTATTTTATTTATTTTTCCTATTATTATTATTATTATTATTATTATTATTATTATTATTATTATTATTATTATTATTATTATTATTATTATTATT